TGGGCAGTCGTGGTGGCCCTACGGCCTATGTCGGGTCCTCCCTCCTGCGGGTCGCGTGGCTTTTTTGGGCCACCGCTCTGGAGGGCCCCCCGGGTCCTCCCCCGTAGGGGTGCCCGTCTGCGCAGAGGATGGAGGGCGGTCCAGAGTGGACGCTGTCTAATTCGGAGGCAAGGGGAGGTGGAAGGCTGGTGGCAAGGGGAGGTGGAAGGCTGATGCGTTGGGGAGGTCTGTTGGGCCTCCATCCCAGAGAGGCAGAGGGAGGTGCGGTGGCAGGCCGCGCAAGGAGAGTGTTTGAAAGGGAGGTGCTGTGCCGGTTGAAATGGGCGGAGACACTTCCGCCCTCTTGCAGCGGTGAAGGGCCCAAGGGCCTCTCCCTCGGCTCATAGGAAGCCCCCACAGGCCACAGGCGTCCTAGAGGCCGACGGCGGGATCCCTCGCCAGCAGGCTGGCGTGGGGTTCCCAGCACGTCGGCCTCTGGGCCGCCTTGGGGGGTTCCACTGAGCGGGAGGGAGGTTTGGGCCCTCCCCCATCAGCGCGGCGGCAGCGCCGTCCACGCTCGCCAAGGTAGATGGCAGAAAGGCCTCACCTCCTGCACACAGGGTGCCCCCCCTCAGCGGCCCGCGAGATGCGACGGCGCGAGGAAGTTAGTCTCCGTTGCTGTCCAAAGTTCTCAAACCTCTGGCCTTCACGATTGCGGCCGGTTCCCTGTCAGGTCAAAAACCTCCTCCTCCTCCTCCTCCTCCTCCTCCTCGTGCTCCTCCTCGTGCTCCTCCTCCTCCTCCTCCTCCTCCCCTCCTCCCCTCCTCCCTTCTCCTCCCTCCTCCTCCTTCTCCTTCTCCTCCTCCTCCTCCTCCTCCTCCTCCTCCTCCTCCTCCTCCTCCTCCTCCTCCTCCTCCCCCTAAGCCCCATCGAAGTGTAAGCGCAGCGACCCGGAAGTCCTGACCCGTTCCCAGGGTCCGGTTTTCCATCCTGAGTCTTCTCTGACGGCCCCGAGGCCCGGCGAGGGCCCCCGGGGGCCGAGAACGGCCCAAGGCCTCCCGCCCTGAGTCTTGCCCGCGACGCGACCATGCCTGGGGGAGCCTCGTCGGCAGACGCAGACCTCGAGGTTTGGGGCTGGGCCGGGTCGGCCAGCCCTTGCTTCTCTCGGGGCGCGCGCTGGTCCTCCCCGCCCCCTCCCCAGCCACGCGCAGAGGGGGGTGGGGGGAGGGGGGAGGGCTTCTTAGAAGCACCCCTGCTTCTTAGAAGGCGCGGGCTTTCTCTACAGATGTAAGGCCGGCGCCTTCTAAGAAGCAGCCTCCTTCTAAGACGCCCTCCCCCTCCCCCACCCCCTTGTGCGCGCCGCCACCCTCCGACCGAGGCGCTGGCGCGCCCCGATGGATGCGCTTGGGGGCCGGGAGCCCCTGAAGCTCACGCACGTACTCCACGAGCCGGGCAGCACGTGGAGCAAGGCCCCCGCGGCGCTCCTGCGTCCCCAGACCTCCTCGCGTCCTGAAAAAATCACGACAGGAGGTTTTTGATTATTTTTGGCCTCTGTGGGCCCTCACCGGGCCTCGGGAGCGTCAAAAAACGACTCAGGATGACAAACCGGTCCTGGGGAAGGGGTCTAGAACTCTGGAGTCGACGTAATGAAAAAATCATTACGTCGGGGGTCTGGGTCCCTGGCAGGCGGGGACAGGTCGTCCGAGCAGTGGCGAAGCGTCGTGGCCTGCCCATCCCAGAGATCCAGCGCACTGAAAAAATCGAGACGGAGGTGTCTCGCCGTTTTTCAGCCTCTAGAGGCCCTCGCTGGGCTTCGGGACTTTGAAAAACACGGCTCAGGACGAAGAGCCGGTCCTGGGGAATGGGTCGAGGCTTTCAGGGACCGCGTGTTGAAACAATCACGACATCGAAGCTATGGGATAGGCACACCAGACCATGTGCTAAGAACCTTCTGGTGGTCTGCTCGACATGTTCTTTAGAACATTCCTGGCTGGCTAAGACCGCCCTGTTTTAACACATTGGCTCTCTGTTTTAAGAACATTCCCTGCGATCCGACGTTGGAAAAACTTGCAACATCACATTATATTAGAACTTCTGAAAAATAGAACCCTGGACCCCATCGTTCCTTTCTGCTTCATTTTTCGAGCTGGATCGATCTGTGACGGTCCCGGGGCCCCAGAAACGGCGAAGACGCCCGTTGTGAAAAAATGCAATGCCAGGATCTCAGGATTATTTTTGTTGTTCGAACATTATTTTCGTTCTGAGAGCATGTCGTGGTGGGCCTATGGGAGTGCCAGGACGGCCCGCATCTCGGGGGAAACGGTAGGGGGGGATAGCCACAGCGGGGGATGCATCGACCCCCAATCGCCCATTGATCGCCGATAGGGGCCCGATAGCCTCAACTCCTGCACAGCAAGATGTGGATGCACTATCGGGGGCCTATCGCCGATCTATCAAAGATGTATCGCCGATTCCAGGTCGACGCATCCCCCCTAATATGCCAGTCCCCCCTATCCCAGACCCCCGACGTCGTGATTTGTTCACAACTTCGACCCCCAAAGGTCTGGACCCCTTCCCCAGGACCGGTTTTTCATCCTGAGCCGTTTTTGGACGGTCCCGAGGCCCGGCGAGGGCCCCTGGAGGCCGAAAATGAGGAAAAACATCCCGTCGTGATTTTTTCACTACCCGAGGGGGTCTGGATCTCCGGCGGTATGATGGTTGCACCCGGCATGGTTTCTTCGACGTCGGCCTTCGGGGGCCGCGCTCGGGCCCCGTGGCTGTCAAAGTCTCGCGCGGCGCGAAAAATAGCCCCCGGGGGAAGCGAACGGGACCTGGGTTGACGATCTGACAGAATACTTTCTTACAGCGCATGGACAGCATTGGCTACATTTTGGAGGAAGTATGGATGAATTGGAGGATGATTACGTTTATCACACAACATCAACAATATCCCCGGTGACTGAATGAGCGGCGCCCCGGCGCCACCTCCCAGCCCCCCGCGCGGCCGCCCTTTTGGGCGAACTGGGAGTCGCCTCGCCTCGCCTCGCCTCGAGCAGTAAAAAAATCCCGACGGGCGGTTTTTCCTCATTTTCGGCCTCCAAGGCCCCTGCCGGGCCTCGGGGCCGACGAAAAGCGACTCAGGATGAGAAGCCGGTCCCAGGGAAGGGGTCGAAACCTCTGGGGGTCGACGTTGTGAAAAAAAACATGACGTCGGGGGTCTGGGTTGTAGGTTACAGACCTCCTGGATGCCTGTGAGGATATCTTGGGAGGCCTCTCGGATGCCTCTTGGAGGCGGTTTGGGGGGGGCCTCTGGGGGCCCGATCGATTGGGGCCTCTCGAGGCCTCTTGGGGGCCTCGTGGCGCCTCTTGGGCGCACCTCGGGGGCTTCTGGGGGGATCTTGGGGCCATCTTGGGGCGGAGAGCTCCACATGTCAGTTCGTGTTCCTCCTCTTGGGGCCCTCTTGTGGGCCTCTCAGCCCCCTCCTGGGCTCCTGGGCCGTTTGGGGGCGATCTTGGGCGCGCCTTGGACCGTCTTGAGCGCCCCGAAGACGGCACGCGAAAATCAGACCCCAACAACGGGCGTTGACGACGTTGGCCTCTCGGGCCGCCCGCCAGGGCCTCCGGGGCGGGCCCGAGAGGCGCCCAAGAGGGCTCCGGGACGGTCCCCTGGGGCCATCTGGAACCGTGTTGGGCACGCACGTCCCGAACAACGCGCCTTCCCCAGAGATCCAACGTCTTGAAAAAAATCAAGACGGAGGTTTTTCACAGATTTCGGCCCCTAGGGGCCCTCGCCGGGCCTCGGGACCGTCAAAAAACGACTCAGGATGAAAAACCAGTCCTGGGGGATGGATCGAGGGACCGCGCATTGAAAAAATCACGACATCG